ATTGAACATTTCTATGAATAGGATACTGTGTTTTAGTTTAAGTAATCTGAACATTTAGATTTATTGTAGATTAAACTGGTGAGACATCTGGGACATTTAATTCTACTTGCATATTCATCTACCAAATTCAAATATGAAAGGCAAATCCACCTCTCTATATATAATTCAGTGTCTGCAGTGTCTCATTCATGAATGTCCAAGAAGACAAATTGTTCTCATCTATCAAACATAATTTTGGCAAGGAACTGGCAATAAAATCCAAAAAGCTGCCAAAGTTTGGGTTTCACAAAACTTTATGCCTCCTTCAGACTCTATTTTAATCTGTCACCGTGTGTCAAATTAAATGTGTTTCTTTGAGGCTGCATGTACTCATGTTGGCAGGTAAAACAACATTTATTATTGTTATACATTACACCTCATCCAAACTAGGAATGAATCCAAGAGGAATTAGTACTAAGAATATATTTTCAGAGGTAAGCTTCCTTAGTAGAATCCTTTTGAGTCAGATCTCCACTCTTCTGTGTATTTATCAGACAGTACTTTGTTAAAGACTTATGTTTGCTCTTAATCAATAATTCATCTAGCCTTCAAGTGATACTTTTGAGTGCTCAATATTTTATATACCTCTTATACCTAATTTTATGTATTTTGCCTTATTTAATATTTAAAACATTCTAGAACATTTAAATTTTCATTCTCATAGATTGATTCATATAATCAATTGACAATACAAATACATCAAATAATTAAGGCCAAATAATAATAATGGAATATTTTTTCTAACTTTATAGTCAGTGAGTATAACTGTATTGTGCTGAGCTAAATGTACAATTAGTCACAAAAAATGGTAAAGTAACAATCCGCTGTCATCGTTTCAGAACAGTTATTAATGAATTACAAAATGTCTAAAAAACATTATTAGTGTTACATTAATATAATGTGAAATCAATTTTCCTATAGCTCTTTCACCACCTTCAAAATAAAGTCATGAAGTACCTTTGCTATTAGTTACCAAGCAATATGAACAGTTAGGGAAATAATACCTTTTATGTATAAAGATCTTACTCTAGAACATACCAATCATTATACCAGGGATTCACAGGAGAAAATATATTTGAGTGCATGTCACACAGTGATTTTCCCCAAAGCAGGTCAGACTTTGGCTACTGAGGCAGAGTTATCAGATAACATGTATGTGATCTAACACTCAGTTAGTCAGACTTTGGTACCAACAATGAGTTCTAATTTTTATCTAATCTGTGCAGGTAAATAAAGCTGGAGACGTCCCTGCATCATCCCAGTATTTTGTATGATTTCCTACTTGAAAAGGCAATAACATTAAGGCATTTGTTTTTTGATCAACAGTACTGAATTGACTATTTTTCAAACACTGAAATATTTCTATCAACATATATTAAACTTTCTTGTGCTTTCCTGGGTTAATTTCCAAAAACTTACACGCATAATAAAGGAATTGATGTGAGTTACAGTACTTTAACTCAGAATTTTATTTTGATTCTTAGAATTTAAATTTTTCAATTTAATCTGTTCCTCTTTTCTATACACTTTGAAGAGCCCTCAACAAACTAATGTTAGTTATTTTAAATTCCCATCTTGGTAAGTCTAGAGTCTGAATCTTAAATATGCCAGTCTTTTTCTGTGCTTTTTATTCACATTTTATGTGTATAAACTTATATTTGTTCATTTGTATTTGACTTATAATGCTATATTATTTATGTTTTTGAATTTTGTCCTCTTGAGTTAGATAATAGAGGCTTATACAAATATTATGTAGTATAATAATTCATTTTGTTCATAGCATTCATTATTGCCTAGGCTTTCTCATGTTTGATAATCAGAGTCTTCATAGATACTGAATACAGTTTTATTCGGTTTGGTTTGTCTTAGTTTGGTTCATATTTTGTCTCACCTCTTATCTTTGGACATCCAGATGTTTCTTCTCAGAGATACTGCACCATGCAGGTCTTAGAACTGAAACTGATTATTCTGATGCTAGCCTCTTGGCTTATAGGAAGTATTAGTGTTGGGAGGGGAATGGTCTTTGAGGCTCTATTTAAACTTTTCATCTGGGGCTTTTGTTCCTGCATGCTCACTTCCTGGAGTGTTTCATGTCCATACAATTTTATGTTCCCTACTTGAATTTCTTTCACATTAGGGGCCATAGGAAGTTAAATCAGACAAGCATGGAAGTGAAACTCATTCTTTAGGGTAATCAAGATTAGGTATTGTCTATTCCTTCTGCAAAGTAGTAATCACATGGAAAATTCTGTAGGCATTCTACATTGTGATTTCTGCAGTCACCTATCCTATCTTTCCCAGAGAAAGGGATGCATCTCTCCAGGCTCTGCACTATGGAATTCCATGTGTATAAAATTTTAAAGTTCTAAAATATGTGATGGAGTTTGAGTATACAATCTGAACACCTTTTATTTAAAATGGTCTTCAGTCAGCCTACAGGAATTTATAAAATTTAACCTTAAACCTCCTCCCACTTCGTTATTCTAGGAGAGTCTGATAGGTCTTTTGCGTCTTTCTGAACTTAATTGTTTTCATAATTCACTTTGGCAATTGGCTTCATGATTTCTGTCTTTTTTGTTTGTTTTGTTTTATTTTTGATATCTTCATGTAAATATATAACTGTCATTGTCTACAGAATTTTATATTATAAAAATGAGAAGAATAATTTCTGTGAGGGCTAGATACCAAAGATGAAATGAGAAGTTGAGAGATCCTTTTGGATTTATTTTTGGATTTTTTATTTTTGAAATTATAATTACATTTTTCCTTCCCTTTCCTTCCTGCAAACCCTCCAATAAACATCTTTCCACTCTTCTTCAAATTCATGACCTCTGCTTTCATCAAATAATATTGCGTGCATATGTGCGTGTGCGTGTGCGTGTGCGTGTGCGTGTGCGTGTGCGTGTGTGTGTGTGTGTGTGTGTGTGTGTGTGTGTGTGTGTGTGTGTGGTCAATAATACAGGGGCCAGGAGTAAAATGCCTATAACTTGGGTATTTTGATGTTTGTTTTGTTTTCCTTTGTTGATAAGGAAGGACATACTATACTGATTTTGAAAAACTCTCTGAAGATAATAAGCAAATTATTACTTAGGAGTAGCATTGTTTTACAGAATACTGTAATCTTGCTTAGTGAATACTGTGTGGTTTGTGGGCTATGTGCAGGAACCTATCAAGACAGCACAGTTTAATAGAAATCTCTTCTGCCTCTGTCCATGGGCTAAGGTCAATTTAGGAATGGCCTTGTTTCTATGCACACTAACAACAGCCCTTGACAAAATCATTTATGTACAGGAGATGAGTGATTTCTTGTCTTTGTCACAAGGATTCCCTGGGAAGATTTGAGCCATGAGAAAACAAGGTCCATTAAACCTCATATTTCTACTTTCTCTAACATTAGAATTTCATTGTGCTTTGAATTATTACAATTCTTAAGCTTTATGGGTGACTTGGAAGTCAAAATTATCATTATATTAAATTATATTAAATTAATTTTCAAGCTGATGATGTCTCAAATCATCTGTAGGATAGGCCTAGGACAGACTTATCTTGTCACCTGGGAAAATAGGTTGAAAGATCTGCTCACTATGTATGGCACCATTCCCTGGGCTGGGGTATTGAGATATATAAAAAGTAGTCATTGACATTAGCACATAAATTTATTGTTCACTGCTTCTTGACTGTGAATGTGCTATTTTGAGTTGCCCCAAACTCTGGTCTTCCTGACATCCTGCATGTGTACTTTACCTTCAAAGTGTGAGATAAAAGAACCTACCCCTTTAGTTTCTTTTGTTGGTATATTTTACAGTTAACAACATGAAAAATAATTAAGTAACTGTGAAGATGATCCAGCTAAAAGAAAGTTTAAAAGTATGAGTTTACAATTCCAATTTGGAGACAAGATTGGCTAGAAATTAATGTTTACAAAGTTTCTTGTAGAATAAAAGAATATAAAACACTAGTTGCTTTTAGTATTATTTAAAATTGACTTGAAATCAACACAAAGGTTAAAATGCATTAAATTTGACGTAACTACGTTGATGATTACAGTGAATATTTTATACTTCTTTTTACTTTTTAAAAAAAATCTATTAGTAATTTGAGCCAGGTTCCCATTTAATAACATAGAGGAATCTTTGAATCATTGATTTGCTTCATAAATTCAAAGCTCATTTTAATTAGTAAGCAAAAACATTAATTAGAAACTTGTGTGAATTTCTTTGGAACTGAAATGAAACAATAATTTTATGATTGTTTTTGTTATTTGTATTTCTTCTAAATAAAAAATTAGGCAACTAGCTTCCAAGAGTAAACATCAGGTGTCCCCAAGTACGCTTCTATGGAGGGTAACATCCTAGTAACTGAGGCCTTACAGAAGTATGATAATTACAGATACTCATTAGAAAATTACGTAATAGGTATGAAAATTTAAAAAAATTAATATTATGTAATTTAGATTAAAAATTTGCATTCATACTCTTTTTTACCAAACTGAACTTCAAAGACAATAATTATGCTAATAGTGATAATGACAATAATTACTGCTAGCTTTTACTAAATCTTCCTAGCTGTCAGACAAGTGACATGCTAGCTATAAAGTCTCAGATAATCCATCCAAAAATCTTCTCACAAGGTTTTGGTACAATTTTTATTTTAGAATTATAAACTTAAAGTATGTTTCTTGTTCTTAGACTGCTTCAACCATCAGTAGACAGAGCAGAATTCAAGGGACATATCTAAACAGTCATTATTAATGAAATATTGAACTATTTTCCTATTTCATTTTCTCTGAAATTATTTTAGATAATATGATTTTTTATACTTGAATTTTAACATCATAATTGAAATTTATGACCTGATTTAGAATTATTTTTAAAAGAAGTATAAATTTTTATATTTGTCTCACATAAAAATGAGTTTAAGTTAAAAAATAAATTAGCTTATTCTGATATTATTGAACTATTTTCACTAAGTAAAACAATTTAGGATGATACCTAGCCAATTCAGTCACTACCCAATTAAAATTAATGCATTCATCTATTAAAGTAACTAACATACTAATTGAGATAAATTAGACTATACGCTAAACTGTTTGTGAAAGATAGCTATTAATATTAATTCAGTGGGAGACAAATGAGACTACTTTCATTTTCTGAAGGAAATTTTTTAAAATTATCATCAGCTTCATCCTTATAACATTAATTTAAAATGTAAAGATGAACTTATTTTCTTAAACTGTTTCTCTCTGTGTGTTTTATTTTTATTCTTTTGTTCAAGGTGGCTAATAATGTTTCTAATTACACATTTCTTAAAATCATCTGAAATCTGTCAATAACTCACTTATTTTTTTAAATGTGTGTAGCTTCTTTCTTTTTGACACAAAGGTTCATTATTCAAGACTGGACTCCTTATGCAACAGAGAGTGACCTGGAACATCTTCCTCCTTCTGCCTCTACCTCTGCAGTGCTGGAATTAAAGAGGTGCACCACCATAACTTGTCACACTCTTGTGGGGATCAGACCCAGTGCTTCAAGCATGGTGAGTTCCACTAACTGAACTACTTACTCCTAAACTTGGTTTTAATTATAAGTTTTAACCTTTTTGTTTTTATAGAGTTCCCAGAACTCATAATGTAGTTAATAGATGAGAAAGTGGTGAGTGATCAACTAGTCCCTGTAAAAATATTTACACATTAGAAAAACAGATGGTATTTTAGATGAATGATTTTTGATGTAAGTATATACCTGTACTTACATTCACAGCTAGTGCCAATTCGTATGTGTTAGCTGTCCTGTTATGCCCGGAAAATACTGTTTCACTGTACTTATCAACTGTCTCTAGGTGTTACAGCCTTCAGCTCTGCTTTCAATAATCATCTTTGAAACATTGTGTTGTGTATATATGTGTTAGTCATCATCTATTGCTAATAGAAACTTCTCTGATGAGAACTGAGAGATGAACTATCTATGGTTATAATAATAATCTTTAGAGTGCTTATTTAATATAGTGGCCCTTTTGCAGAATAACAGCAGTATGTATTTCTCTAGAGTCCATGACCTACACCTAACCTCTGACTCTCTTTGTTTTTATTTATTTATTTTTTTTATTTTACAATACAGTTCAGTTCTATATATCAGCCACGGATTCCCTTGTTCTTCCCCCTCCCGCCCCCCCTCACCTTCCCCCCAGCCCACCCCCTATTCCCACCTCCTCCAGGGCAAAGCCTCCCCCGAGGACTGAGATCAACCTGGTAAACTCAGTCCAGGTAGGTCCAGTCCCCTCCTTCCAGGCAGAGCCAAGCGACCCTGCATAGGCCCCAGGTTTCAAACAGCCAACTCATGCAATGAGCACAGGACCCAGTCCCACTGCTTGGATGCCTCCCAAACAGATCAAGCCAATCAACTGTCTTACCCATTCAGAGGGCCTGATCCAGTTGGGGACCCCTCAGCCATTGGTTCATAGTTCATATGTTTCCATTCGTTTGGCTATTTGTCCCTGTGCTTTATCCAACCTTGGTCTCAAAAATTCTCGCTCATATAAACCCTCCTCTTTCTCGCTAATTGGACTCCCAGAGCTCTACCCGGGGCCTAGCCATGATTCTCTGCATCCAGATCCCTCAGTCGTTGGATGGGGTTTCTAGCACAACAATTAGGGTGTTTGGCCATCCCATCACTAGAGTAGGTCAGTTCAGACTGTCTCTCGACCATTGTCAACAGTCTGTTGTGGAGGTATCTTTGTGGATTTCTGTGGGCCTCTAGCACTTTGCTTCTTCCTATTCTCATGTGGTCTTCATTTACCATGGTCTCGTATTCCTTGTTCTCCCTCTCTGTTGTTGATCCAGCTGGGATCTCCTGCTCCCCCAAGCTCTCTTTCCCTCGACCCTTGCCCTTCATTACCCCTGCTATTCCACTCTTGGGCATATACCCAAGGAATGCTCAATCATACCACAAGGGCACTTGCTCAGCTATGTTCATATCAGCATTGTTTGTAATAGCCAGAACATGGAAACAACCTAGATGCCCTTCAACTGAAGAATGGATAAACAAAATGTGGTACATATACACAATGGAATACTACTCAGCAGAGAAAAAAAAATGACAACATGAGGTTTGCAGAGAAATGGATGGATCTAGAAAAAATCATCCTGAGTGAGATAACCCAGACTCCGAAAGACAAACATGGTATGTACTCACTCATAGCAGGATACTAGATGTGGAACAAGGATGACTGGACTGCTACTCACATCACCAGGGAGGCTACCTGGAAAACAGGACCCCAAGAAAGACACGGGGATTGCCCAATGACAGAGAAATGGAAGAGATCTACATGAACAGCCTAACCTCTGACTCTTGTCCTCAGTAATGATGTTAGGCATAGTTCTCTCTTGATGTAGTGAGGATGTTGGTTACTCCCATAACATCTATGCCACTATTTTAAAAGTAGGCATATTTTGAAAGGCTGATTGCTAGTGTAGCTCCAGCCAACCATAATTACAAAATAGAGATGGAAGATGTTCAAGAAGTTCAACTTCTAACTAAGGGACTATTGGAAACTGATGGCTGCTGCGAGGAGGAAACACAGTCTTTTTCTAATAATACAGCTTCTGAGAAGCTACTTATGCTGCAGTAGATGACACTTCATCCATGCACATAATGACACTACTAAGTAGACTCTGTGGGTTTAAATAAAATAGCAAGAACATGTGAAATTGGAAATAATGGTGGTGGTAGGAGAGGACATAAGTTTGAGGGAAAGGATAGAAGGGTAATTTTATAAAAATGTATGATATAAATTCATACATTTGGAAAATCCAATCAAAAAGCAAAAGAAAAATGAGTAAATGGATACTAAGCATCCAGATGAATGAGACTCAGTAGACTTAAGTTGAACTGTAAATGAAAAAAATACAGAGCAGAATCATCTTACTGTCCTTTCAATTAAAGCCATGATCACAGAAATCTGAATCCATGTGTTCAGTTACCACCCAGTGCAGCACACTCACCTTTCGGACACAGGGTTTCACTTTATCATGGACCCTAACACTGTGATTGATAGATGTGTCCTTGCTGTCTTCTGATTGAATTTTAAGCATTAATACTTAAAATCTAATACATACATTTTTATTGGAATAAAAAGGCATGATATCTTTCATCATGGACTGTGAAAATTTACAGTTCCCAACATTACTTAAAGCTAACTCTCAGGTAACCAGAATAAAGGACTCTTTTATATCCATGATTCCTGGAAAGATATTTTTAAAATTACCATGGTCAATTCATTCTCTTTTGACAAGGAAAACTCAAAGCTATTCTTTTATGTTTATTCTTTATGACTGTGATCGTACTGGGCCATTGTCATGATTGAAAAGGCTAAAGAAGATTCCCCACTGCACAAGAATAAGACACTAATATGTTTAGTGGAGTATATTTTCAACTGATTTATCTTCTGAAATTGAAGACATTTGGATGTTAGCTCTTATTCCCATTACAGAGTTAGTTAAACTGAAGGGCAGAAATAGGGGACAATAGACAGTATCCTGAAAGAAACATGTGCTTTGGGTATATGCAAATTTAACTGAATAATGCTTGGATATCTATTATGCAGCAAAATTCAGAAATATCTATCTAAGGAGACAGAGTTCCAAAATTACAATCTACTAAAGCTAAAGACTCCCTCTAATATGTGTAGAGAAGAGGAATGTAAGAACTACTTTACTTTGAAATACAATATTAAAAGATCTGGTAAGATATGAGTCAGACTGAGACCTAAGCATACATTGAAAGTATTCCTGAAAATATTCTACTCAAACTATATCTGTTCAGTTAGAAGCAACATTATAATGGAAAATTTAATAAATGTGTGTTATGCTACATGTATTCTGTTAACTTGACATAAAATACAGTCACCTGTGAAGTTAGATCATTAATTTAAGGGTTGCTTCTCTAAGATTGTCTGTATGCAAGACTGTGAGAGCTTTTTCTTGATTAATGCTTGAGATTGGAAGGCCCATGTGGGTGATGCCACTCCCAGGCAAATGTCATTGGTATATTTGTAAAAGAAAGGAAGCCATCAAACATTAATTTTTAATATCATTTAACTTACAATAGACTTAGTTTTTATTTTCTTCTTAAAGTGACCATCTATATTACATTGCATATGATACAAGAGGAGTTGACTGTTTTGATATCTTTGAGAGTTGTTAATGTATTGTCAGCATCTACACCTTCAGAACTATAAAATGAAAATGGAAAGAAAAAAGAAGCAAGAGCTTTGGTTAATCAGAGAAGGAGTGATCTTTGTGCTTGATCTTGTTATCATACTTTGCAGTGTCAAAGGCTTTATAATAAAGACTGATGTTGGCCAGAATGAGAGTTCTGTCTTTCCTGTTTACCATGAAAATAAGTTTATTCTTCCACATGACAGATATTTATCTACTGCTCATTCATTCTATAGATACATTTAATAACATTTCTCTCATACCTTTAAAGTTGATTTTCAAGGAAGAAAGAGAGAAGATTTGACTTGAACAAATTCATAAATATAGAAGACCAAATTTGAAAATTTGGTCATCATGCCATAACAATATTCAGGAAGCTGTCTTATACATAAATTTTGAGAAAATATCCTTCTCTTCATGTATCCTAAACTTCTTTTGATGAGATAAAGTAAGTTGTTTCATCATTGACTATATATTTCCCCTTGTTATGTAACTTTTGTACATTCTTTATAGGTCAGGATCTTTAGTTATCCTTCCTTGGCTTTCATGCTTATGAGTTTTAGCTCTGTAATTAGCCTAAAACTTTTATGCTGTGGGATGTTCTGTATGTTAAATGTGTTGATCTGATTGGTTAAAAAATAAAACACTGATTGGCCAGTAGCCAGTCATGAAGTATAGGTGGGACAAGGAGAGAGGAGAATTCTGGGAAGCGGATGGCTGAGGCAGAGAGACACTGCCAGCCTCCACCATGAAAAGATGTAAGGTACTGGTAAGCCACAAGCCACGTGACAAAGTATAGATTTATAGAAATGGGTTAATTTAAGATAGAAGAACTAGATAACAAAAAGTCTGCCACGGCCATACAGTTTGTAAGCAATATAAGTCTCTGTGTGTTTACTCAGTTGGGTCTAAATGGCTGCAGGACTAGTGGGTGAGAGAGATTTGTCTTGACTGTGGGCCAGGCAGAACTGGAGAAAACTCCAGCTACAAATGGTGCCCAACGGGTTGTCAAGAGTTTCCACCTAAAACCTGAGAAAGAAGATTCTAAAATGGAGCTAAAAATAGCTTCCTAATTGTCTCTCTCAAGTTAGCTGCAACCTGCATGCTAGAGCTACTATGGCGGGTTCCTGGCATATGCATTTTACAGCAGTGTGGCAGGAATGAGGTGTCTACAAGTAGCACATTATGCTGCGTGGTGAATTTAGTCTTTGCTAGTTAAGAAAAAAAAAGAGGTTTCTGGGCTACACGCTGCTTTATGATAGAAGCATAAAACTACTGTTTCTAAGAATTGATGGCTCCCAGAGCTGGCAGAAAACATACCACCGCCATGTTGGGAAGCTGAAGTGGGCGGAGCCGGCAGCCACAGTGGCTGTTTCAGTTTTACAAATGCTGCAGTTTAAAGCAATAGGTTTGCAATAAGGCAGATTCAGATGAAACAAGACTTTAAATGTTTTACAATATGTGTAAAAAAATGTATGTAGGCTTGAAAGAGAGAGAAAAAGAAATATATACAATTATGTAAAAAAAGATAGTTTAAAAAAATAAAGTCTTTAAAGATAGAGTAAAATTAAAATAAAAAATAAGTCACATAAAAATGGATATTACACAGATCATCTGGATTGTGTTGTCTTTGGGATTTTTATCTGTAGAAAAACATTTGATCATAAAAGCTGTTGAGTTAAGCCAATATGTATATTTTAAAGGTACCTTGACTCTAGGCCTGTGAGCTGAAGACAGACGCCCCAACTTTGCAAAGGAACTTTGAATAACTGTCCAGGCTTCCAGCTGTCTCTGTCTACTCTCACAAGAGTCTTCAAAGTTGATTGCGTCCTTCTCCCATTTCTCAGGTAACATTATATCCTTTTGAGGTCTTTGATGTAGTTGAAGACTAGATAGTTACAATTTTCCTTAGTTATGATAAAAGAAAAGTTTGATATGAAACCCTAGACTCACAAATATAGGATAGATAGGATATCCTCTTTAATTTTGCCAAATACAAATAGACTAGATATTATAAATAGACTAGATATTATAACTGTAATTTTTCCTTGATAATTGTTTTGTTATATGTAATTTTACTATGTGAAAGTTAAAACCTTCCTTTAAAAAAAAAAAAGAAAAGGAGAAATGCTGTGGGATGTTCTGTATGCTAAATGTGTTACTTTGATTGGTTAACAAATAAAGCACTGATTGGCCAGTAGCCAGGCAAGAAGTGTAGGCAGGACAAGGAGAGAGGAGATTTCTGGGAAGTGGAAGGCTGAGGCAGAGAGATGCTGCCAGCCACCATGATGAGAAGCAGATATTAAGATACCGGTAAGCCACAAGCCATGTGGCAACTTATAGATAAATAGAAATGGGTTGATTTAAGAAAAAGAACAGTTAGCAAGAAGCCTGCCACAGCCATACAGTTTATAAGTAATATAAGTCTCTCTGTGTTTACTTGGTTGGGTCTGAGCAGCTGCGGGACTAGTGGGTGAGAGAGATTTGTCCTGACCGTGGGCCAGGCAGGACCAGGAAAACTCTAGCTACACTTTTATTTAATTATTTTTATAAGATTGTATAGCTACAAATGTGTATGCATGGTAAACAGGAAATCAGACATATTTATAAGTGTGTGTGTGTGTGTGTGTGTGTGTGTGTGTGTGTGTGCCATAGATTTGTTTTGAGAGTGTATTTGCAATGACTCTCAACTTTGTACAAAGAGTTATTGTGTCTGGCTGGACATAGAGTTCACATAATGCTAGTCTATTTATCCAGTTGCTCTTCCCAAGGATTAGGATTATACTTGGGCAACCTGCCTGAGATTTAAATAGAAGTTGGGGGTTCCAACATTCATACTCACATTTGTGTAACAAATTATTTGTTCATTAAGCTTTCTCTTCTTTCACTAAGTACATTTTTGTATACTTAGAATCCCAATTTTCAAATGAGAACCCATATGTAGGCAAACAACTCATGCCATCAGCTCTGACATCCTAAGAACAACCAAATCTGTGAACTTCTTTAACGCTTGAGTGTCTATTTCTTTAGACTTCACTAAAGGACTTACGAATCTATCTCGTTATCTGTCATGGGGTTCAAAATTGCCAGTTTTATTTCATGGGGGCTTCTGCTTTTTCCGGTGCTCTACTTATTAGTTCTTAATTATGCTAAAACTGTCTCCTACCATGCTTGCCAAGCACTAAAACTATTTAAACTGATTATTCCCACATTAATAAGATAGTTTGCTTGTAGCATATGATTACATATACATTAATAAAGTATCTGCCAGTAGATTTGGATATATTGTGCCACCTAATTGATGTATCGTTTTCTTCCTTAACTGTCAACACAGGTTACATTGTGATTTGAGCCTAATATTTGAAATGGTGATGGAGAATAAAATTGTATTTGATTCATAAATGGGTTTCGATTAACTATTAGTGCCAAAATCTCTGTATAATCTTCACAAACCAGATGGTATTTTATGTTGATATGAAAAAATTTGTGTAATCAACAGAGAGAAAATGTTCAGCAGAATTTAAGTTGCTGGGATACTTCAGATGAACAACTCAAGCATTCCTATTTAAATGACAATTCTCTAACTATTCCAGACTTTACATTAGTTCTGAAGAGTTATTACAATTATGATCCAACTTTCCTTGCCTTGAGGTTTCAGCAGAGATTTCTTTCTTTTGACCAGGGAGGTCTTGAGACTATGATGATAAACTGTTGTAATTAATTCTTACTGTGCTATGGTCTTCTAGGTATTCTAACAGATAAACTACATGACACACAGAAAAAATATTTGTGTCCATTTTATTTGCATCATTGATTCTGAAACCTCTCATATGCTCAGTTCAGTAATTAACCATCAATATGATTTTTCTTTCACTGCCTCATCTTACTCAATATTTGTAGCGATAACACCCGCGCTACCACCACCCGTTCACATGTCCGAGAGAGGGACTGTGGATTGAAAAACAGAGACAATGCCATTTATTGAAAGAGGGAGGAAACCTTAAATACAGGTTTACAGCACAATGGGAGAACCCCAGAGGGCAGAAGTTCGCTACTGATGTTTAAAATCTTGCATCTAAGCTGTTAACGCCCAATATGCAGGATACACAAACAAGGAACTTCCCTTAAGCACTCAGGAGGGTGGAAACCGTCAGGGAATTAGCATAGGGAGGACATCTGGTCAAGGTCAGCAAGCAGGCAATGGCTTTACTCAATATGGGAGGAGACCAGGGCCCTACAAATATTCTTGTAGTCTCTCAGTAATTTTACAGGCTGATATTAGAATATTACAGATATTCTACTGTAAGGGTTCTTTGTGCTCAATGGGATAGCAGGTGATCTGTTTGAAAGTCTGCTGTCAATGAGTAACATCCTGGAAATAATATATGGATGGGAAGATAGAGAGCATATGTAAATTGTGAAGAATTTATGTTGGAAAGGGGGACTAAGAAGAGAGGAAATGAAATGGTTAGTGAGAGGCAAATGTTTAGTGTTGTTGTGGCTTGAAACAAATTCTTTCATATACTAATGCTGAACAACAGCTAATTTCTCAAAGAAGAGAGCAAAAATGTGATGAATGAATTCCTTTAGGTAATGCCATTTTTTTTTTTTGGAAAATAACATTCTATAAGTCATCAGTCATCATCATTCAATCCTTGCCAATTAGTGTCTATAACAGAAGCAATGTACTATCATGTATTGTTAATGTTTCATTTGCAATATTATTTGGGATATTTTATAGTAAGGAATAATAAGATAAAATATTGAACAACACTTAATGTCTATATGTGGGAAAAAACTGTAAATTTGCTATTTTCAACTCCTTTAAACAACAAAATTTCTTTAAATGTTGTAAAGTAGCTGCTCCTAAAATCAATGTGCTTCTTCTTTTCAAGTTTCTCCTCAGGGACTTATTGGTTTACCATTTGCCTTCATATAGAAATTCGGAGAAATTTCTCTTAAACAACCAAATGAAAAATTGATATATAGTTGAAAAAAAGAGAATGCTAAGAAATTTCTCTAGAATTATTTTAAGAACAAAATTGAAAAATAATTAAATAGTTGAATAACAATAATAGTTACCAATGGTACAACTTGATAATAGGCTTCATTTTTCTGAATAATATAAAAAATCCAATCATATAAGGGTGACAAATGATAATTTTTGAATAAAAATGTATCCTGATCTACTATGGGGGTTGGTAGTGACCAGAGACCATATTGTCTATGCTCACGCTATTGTTTTAAAGAGGAATATTTTTTATATATATTTTTTCTGAGGTTATATATTCAACTTAGATTGGGTACCAGTGATAGACTAATAAAACAATTTAATGTAAATTCAGCTTAGTGAACCAGTAAGTTTAGTGGTGATATTTATGGGAATATTGATGTGCCTATTATTATTATTATTATTATTATTATTATTATTATTACTGACTTGACACAAGCTAGAATCATCTGGGAAGATGAAACATCAAATGAGGACTGTCTAAGTCAGATTAGCTTATCAGCAACTCTGTGCAACATTTTCTTGATTGATGATTATGTAGAATTTTGGAGGTCATAGCACACTGTGAGCCTTGCTACCTCTTGGCAGGTGGTCCTATATAGTATAAGAATGATAACTGAGCAAATTAGGTAAGCAAGCCAATAAACAGCTTTCTTCCATGGTCTATTCTTTAATTTCTTACTCAAGGTTCCTAACTTGAGCTCCTACTTTGAGACTTTAGGAAACACTGACTTCCCCTCATGATGTACTCTAAGCTATAAAATGAAATAATCCCTTTCCTCCATAACTTGCTTTTGATCATGGTGTTTAACACAGAAATAGAAGCAAACTAGGATAATGGATGAGTCATTAGCAGTTTCAAACCTGAAAACCATTCACGAAACCAGGAATTAAAATTCATGAAAGCTGCATCCCTAGAATTTCTTGCCAAATTATAGTCAGAAACACTGAAGACCCTATCATCTAGACATTGTTACTGCTTATATAGCCTTGAGGAAGGGTCTTGTCAATCTTTTAACTTTTCTGGATTCCTTGAGTCTTGTAAGTTCCATAATCCTCTCAAGTTTTATGAGCTTCCTGGCTACTTCCAGAAAAGAGTGTTAAAATTAGGATGAAATAGATATGCAACAGGCATGTATGGTTAAATGTGGGTGATAAATGCATTAGGACCTTTGTTTTTGCTAATAGTGTTGTTACATTTTCTTATTTTATGTATGACACATGCAGTAATGTGGTGGAAAGTGCTCATTCATCTTGTGGAGATTGAATCAGTAATAGGGAGGTTGCAATAACATTTGCCCATAAATAGGCACTGGCCTTAACATATTTATAAATCAAATATAAATATTTTATTATGCTTTTACCACACTGATTTCCATGGAATATTATCCTCAGAAACAAGCTCTAAATTTTAGATTTCCAAATGTAGTTTGAGAACTGTTCTATAACCTGTACCTTAGAAAAGCATTAACTTGGTATTCTGTCGTTGTTCGATTTTCTGGTCAACATAAAGATCCATTCATCTTAAATAAGACACCAGAGGAAGAAAATTATATGCATATAGCACTTGATGAACCACAACACTTATTATGGGTTATTTACAGGAACATTCACAATTAAGATATCGGCACCATTGGAGCTGCCTGTGCAACATTCAGGAAGCTTTGCCAAAGGGACTAGTTTTTCCTACAGTAATTATGTGTTGCTGCTATAGCCAAAAATGTGGCTTCATGAGGGTGGTCTTGTTTAAGTCTCCCTCCTCCTCCTAAGAGAGGTATTTCAACCCAAGAGAGTCAGTCATATAAAAAATATATCTTTGGGCTATTCTGATACATT